TTTTTTTTGTCTGCCCCCCCCCCCCCCCCACACACACATATATATCTAGCCATTCACTCAAATTTAATATTCAAGAATATTTTCATATATATAATGAAAATTTAACACATACCTAAAAAAGTTGAAGCTTCATTATAATAACAAATTTTATAGATAATTAAATCTTCGAATCTTGCGCAGGTACTCGCATCGTGTACGAACGTGCATTTTTGATGAATTTGCGAAACTCTCCGATATCACGAACGCCACCACGCAACCCGTTGACCATACCGTCTGAATTGCTGAAGGGGAACACTCCGGTCATCATGAAAGATCCCGCAAAAAATACTAATAAAGGTCAGTCTGCTTATTTAAATCGATTTTTTCGTGCAATTCCTGTTTTTCTTGCTAAAAAATATAGGCTGAATGAATAATGCATTATTAAGGAAATATTTTATATTAATGACGATACATAATAATAATTGCATTAGAGAACTTTCCTCACTTTTGTTTGACGTTACAGACTCTCTGGTGATCGAGGAATCCGCGGAGCAATTTGAAATGGATATGTGAAGCAAATGCAACGTGCTGTTGTTTATGACGATTGAAATGTGTTCGTAGACATGCTCAAGAATATTGTCAATCAGTCCTATGACAATCGCACAGAGTTGAGAGCACATGGCTAATACGCTTTAATCCTGTGCCTTTTACCAGTGGTCTTAAGAATTATGAATCTTGTAAAAAGATTTTCTCCTTGACAAAAGGCCATATCTTATTCACATACATATATTGTATATTGTATACAAATCATTTTATTCTCGACGCTTGTTCTTGACCAATGTTATACGTAAATTTGCATGTAAAGAACGGCCGTGAATGTAAAGGTGCTAATGTTTATAAAACATTAGCGTCTAATGTCTTCCTTTTAAAAATGGCCAATGCGATGCTTTGTAACGTGTTTTGTAAGGAACTTGTATCTGTGAATAAATGATACATACATTTTATACATCCATACATTTTACTTTGTTATTATTGTATACATCATACAAAAATAATTATAGATTTCCAGTATATTAAGATTTCTTTAATATATGCCTATTAAGCATCAAAAATTTAATTGCGATATTATTCCAATAATTTAGCCTCTGAATTTTCAAGTTCGATAAAATTTTCGACGCGCAGTTCAAAATCATTACAAATTGGTATATATGTATCTATATACAATTCACATTGAATTATTTAAGAATCGAAGATCCAGCTTCGACCGTTACGAGCCTTTAATTCTTATTTCTTATTGTATTCTCACATGTACAGTCCAATAAGATTCTTGTTGTTTAAAAATAATTAAATACTATTTGAAAATTATATTGAACAATAAGTATTGTAACTTCATTTTTGAGCAAAAATATCTTATAACAATTTAAGAATAATCGAGCCACGTATATATAAAAAAAGTACATAATAAAAACACGTTACATAATAAAAAGTTTTATATAATAAAACGAAATTACATGTTTTTTATTTAAAAATCAAAATTTAAAAGAATTATTTAAATTATTTAAAATTAGAAGAATCAAATCAAATGTCAAGCTCGCGCTTAGATATAATATCAAACTGTCGCAATACTTTGAAAATCTTCGAAAAGAGTTTACTTAAAAAAAAAGACAACTTTATAATCACAATACTTTCCACTACTATTTTTAAAAACTATTATGAAAATGTCGAAGAAATAAAGGGACATATTATTTGCAAATGAAATTATATGATTAAACAATATTCTTTAACTGTGCAACAGTATTGTACGCCATGCTCTTGTAGTAAATTAATTGCATTAAAGATCATTATACACACATAAAATTAATTCTGTAAATATTAAGTAATATGAATATAAAATTCTTTTGAAAAATACTGGATATTTCAAATAGTGCTTACATTATATTGTTTTGCACTGTATATAAATATTGGGTTAATTTATAACAGTTTTTAAACTGTATACATAAATGTAGAATAGGGTATAAACATTGACATAGTGCATTATCAGATATATGTTTATAAAATTTATCACAATTTAGGACATACGTTGCCTAATTTCTTTCAATACTTATGCAGAATTTATTTTTGATATTCTTTCCAAGAGTATCATTGCAACGTTAACTTTGTTTCCTTTCGCGTCGAAATCGTCATAATAAATTAATTCACACAAATCCCTGGTTTCTGGGTTGCTTTGCAAAATTTCTTGTAGTTTAGTATAAAATCTCTCGATAATCTTAGGTTTATATTGTCTATATACAGCAGATTCAGAATGATTGTGTTTCTGTACTTCGTAGTATGTTAACAAAGGTGTCGCACCTTCCACCACTATATATACCGGTTTATTACCCGACTTTCTTCCTTCAGGATATATCTTGTAGGCATTGTTGCGATACGTCCTGCCTATATTCCCAGCCCGGTTACGTTTCTCCTCCTCCAGCTCATGTATATTTTCCATCCACTGACAGGATGCTTCTTTTAAGTCTGGTGGGATGTACCCAGAAGTTGGTATTAAAAGAAATAGCTTGTGTACTGGAAATGTCACATTGTGATAGTCCTCAAAGTTTTCGATTTTCTCAATTATGCCCTTCCTGCTGGTTTCACTGGATGGTAAGGTAAGCCGCAGGTAGCCATAGTAGAAATTATACGCCATACCCGTGCCATAATCCAGACCCTTCATAGCACTAAGATCAGACAGCGATCCTGTCTCCCATTCTGCCAGGTTACTCATCCTGATCAGGCAGAAGGAAAATATCATCAATGGCAAGCACACGTAGGGCCCGAAGTCCCAGGCGTACCTCAAAGGGCACCCGCGAATGGTGATGCTCAAGCCCAGGAACAGCAATGTGGCAACGATGACGATTGTCGCCGACAAGGTATTCAGAGAGAAGTGATATTTCGCCACTGACCAGAAGCTCTCCTCGGAATGCTGGCCCACGTCAGTGGTGAAAGAGACCAGCGTCTGGCACAGGCGTAGCGTCACGTCGCAGAGCAGGAAGATCACGAGGAAGACGGACGCGACGAAGGTGGTCGCGATCACCGACACAATCGTCCTGTCTTTTGTCGCCTTGAACGCGGCGAAGGCGAAAAAAACTAAGAGAACGACACTGTACGCCAAGTAGGTCTTCAGCTTACGATCGGCCGTCGAATACTTCTCGCTTTCCATCCTCGTCGAAATGTAGTCACTGAATCAAGCTAGATCCGCTTCAATCCGGCCTGCAGGGAAGAAACGAATCACTGTGCTGCGATAAACTTCAGAGAAACGTGGCACAACTGCGTCAAGTATATAGTGTGACACATCCGTCCTTCTACGAATTCTATATATCGGAATAGAACAGGAAATGTGCTTAAAGATTTATCCAGACGGACTTGCATAATCATGTATAACGTGTCCGTGAAGAAGTCGACCAATCTTGCGTGTCCAACGTCACGTTACTGAACTTCATGTCCATTTTATATCGTAATGCGTAATTAGTCGACTTCTTTTCCTATGCATATGTATCAGTTTAACGATCACTCGGTTAAACGGGTAACTTTTTTTTTATCTTATTTACGTAATTGGTGAACATGAGGAATAAGTAATTAGCGTTATATCAAGTGCCATTATAAATATTTATAGTTTACGACTTAGTAAACAATAAGTATTTGTTTACATCGTATAGTTTGATAGCCAGTGACTTTTTAAGAAACTGTTAAAAAATAAATCGAATTTTGGTTTAAAAAATTTAATAAAGAATTGCTGACATTAAACTGTGTATATTTCGTGAATTCTAATTTAAAACGATTGAATATAGATTAGATACGCTTTGACTTTATCAAAGATATCCGATTCTCATGTCACATTGAATTCTTTTTTTCTACCAGAGAGGTTTCTACATACACTATGAATTTTCAAGAGACACGGATAACAATAGATTTGTTCTTTTTAGCCTGACTTCTTGTAGTTTTTTCTCTTTTTTCTCTGTCTCCCCAACATGAAATAAAAAAGAGAAAAGATGAACCATGTAAGTTTAGCTAAAAAGAAATCTAGTACGACACAATGAATCGTTAATTTTTATTACTTATCAAAACAATTGTTGAACAAAGACGAAATGATCAGTGTTACACTATGTTACTTTGTAAATATAGCGACACAATGTAACAATGATCATGTCATCTTTGTTTAACATTGGCAAACAAGAATGTAATAATCCATTGTATCACACCGTGTCATTTGTGTGTCGCTTGTTGAAAGGAACACTTTGTCTCTTGCTGGAAAAAGCAAAATATATTACGCTTTTTACATTTTAACTGTTAAATTAGCCGTATTCCCGAAACATCTAATATTTGTACTAAATAAGAATCAAATACATCGAATGTCAGTCCTTAACGTTGTTTTGTATACCTACAATTCCTATTAGGAACGTTAGCTTTACTGTACGCCAATGATCTCTCAGGCGACTGCAAGTTATTACAATGAACTATAACATCAACTGATAACGACTAAGCCGCTGCACAAACTGCATTCTGTTAATTCTGCAAGCCAGTGCAAGCGGCTGACAGACGTAGGACGACAGAACGCATCCATGCGACCTAAGATTGAACTAATGAACTCTCGACGTCGGAGTGTTTTTGGCGGGAAGGCGTTCGTTCATAACCCTTCATTTCCGGTGGACGGGGGAGAAGCGTGACCGAGACAAAGGCGCGGGAAACTGGAAAGCGCAGGCCGCAGTCC